GACCATTGACCATGATAATAAGTACCATAGTCGTGTTCTTCGACATCAAAGGTACCTTCGATTCAGTTGATCCATATGCCCTTTGAAATTGTCTACTCAGGAAAGGTGTGCCCGAGAAATATGTAAATATTATCCAAGCATTATACTCGCGTAGCACGGGCAGAGTGATGGCTTAGGACAAGCTATCGCCACCCGTCAATATCTCCAGCGGTGTGAGACATAGATACCCGTTGTCACCTTTCCTCTTCAACTTCGCTATTGATGAAGTCAGGGAGATTGCATTTACAGGACATGACTTGGAAGGTGTGGAGCTACTCCCAGGAGAACGACTTCTTGATATGGAGTATGCAGAAGACATTGCCCACATCTGTAACAGTTCCCAGACGTGCCAAGCTGCACTGGACAGAGTATCACTGGCTGTCAGCCGCTTCGGACATTGCTTTGCACCAACGAAATGCAAAGCGTTCCTCCAAGATTGGCATGGATCGCCTCCTGCGCTGACCTTTGGTTGGGATCAGCTAGAAGTCGTTCAGAAATTTAACTACCTTGGAAGTTGTATCAACGCTCTTTGGATCGAAGACGAGATCACGAACCGTATAGCGAAAGCTCGAAGTGCTTTTGCTAGCCTTCGCTACCTATGGCGGCGGCTCGACATTACTCTCGCCCTGAAGGGTAGAGTTTACAATGCAGCGGTATGTTCGACCTTACTGTACGGTTGCGAAACCTGGCCCCTAAGGTCGGTGGACATGAAGAGGCTAGTTAACTTCAACCATCAGTGCCTTCGCAGTTTGCCTCTCATCTGGTGGGAACACCGCGTGAGTAACAAGCGTGTTTGACGCCTTGTTTACGGCACAGAAAAAGGAACTGAACAGCTCAGCACCGTTATTTTACGCACCAGGCTCCGATAGCTGGGCCACGTGTTGCGCTTGCCAGCCCACCGACTTCTACGACGTGCTATGTTTGCTCACCGGGGATGTGGATGGAAGAAGAGGAGGAGTGGCCAAGCGATGACTTGGTCCAGAGGAATGAAGGCCCGCAGTTCGGAGCTGGCCTCGGTTGGAGCGTCAGGGCTCCGTGGTTGGGTCCGAAAGACGGTGAGCACCTTTGGCTGGATACACTTGCTGACATGGCAAGGAGGCGACCTCAGTGGTGTTCGTGCTGTGAGTTTCTTTGTCCCTCCCCATCACTTTTAGCCTCTCCCTCCATCTACAATCTCATTTAGTAGCGTAAAACATAATACTTTTTCTTTTTGCCTAGTAGCCGGCTGGTACCTTACCGAAACGATACCTATCCGTTGCTGTTAGCTCAACTGGCATGCAACCGTTGTATTTATTTTCCTTTCCCTTTATGTATTGCGGCACAGTAGCTGGGGTGTTTCCCACCTCTGGCTGACGTGTATAATGATGAATGATAATGATGATGATAATAATAAATATAAATCCACCTGGTTCAAATTGTGCAAGCACACAGTTTGGTTCTGTTATGTAGCCTACTGGCCAACACATGTCGTAAATTGAAATGCGGATGAGACATTGATTCGGCAATTTTTTTAATATCATTGTGTGTGGGACAGACACAAGATAATTTGGGAGTGGGCTCCGTGGCTGACAGTCGAGACGATGGGAATTTATGATGACACTCCAACCAGCTTTAATGTGTTGTCAGCGTTAACTGACTAGTGCCGTGGTTCAGTTCCAGCAGCGGACAGCAAAGGCAGTTTGGGTTCTTCAGGATCTGGTAACTATTATGAGGTATCGTTCTGTAATGACCGATGTCGACTTCAACCTAAGCTGGTTTGGCAAACTGAAGAGACACCATTCCTCACCGAATGCCGTATGTCCAGTTCATACAATAATAGCTGGAAGTCTTTTCACTGGGGATGAGACACCAACAGTCCTCAAAAAGAGTCGACTTATTAATTCCGAATATCTGGGAGATCATCCCAGTGAACTCTCGCCGAGAACAGTGGACAATGCAGGATTGTTTCGAGCGAAATTGACTGATATTTCGGACCAATTTCTGGATACACCATAAACCCAGATTTGTTACCTGCAAGCCCAGCAATACCAAGCAATCAGGAAGTTAAAGATCAAAAAAAGTTGTACTTCTGCAACCACACAAAGGAACGGCGTTTTTATCTTGGACAAAGTTGATTACGACGCGAAGATGAACTCTATAACGGAGAATCAAGGGAAATTCCATGTAAACTAGAGTCCGGATCTTAATGTCTTCATAGATAAAAAGGCAGCAAGGAAGCTCAAAATCTTTTGTTGCGTTGCATTTCAGAATTACTATATGCGCAATTGAAAAATGTGGGAGTGGAAACCCCAAAATGAGATGCACGCGGAAGTTACACAAAGCAATTGTGCTTTCGCGCAAGGTGCGTAGGCATAAATTGCCTTCGCGCCATGTGGCAAAGTTGTTGGCAAAGCCACTAGAACTCGTTCGCAGATTACTGGACATTCAGGGCTTAAGTGTTTCCCTTAGTATGTTCAAGGAAAACGGAGCACATTTGCTCTTTAAACGTGGATTCACTTTCTACCAATGTGCTCTTGCGCGCCACAATTGATTAATTTCACCACTTCCTCTTGAATCAGAAGATGTCTGCGGGCATTCCGCTGGAGTTCCTGCTGGAACTAATTCTACCGTGACAGCATGTCGGCGTTGAGGTTGAAGAAACTGCGTGCAAGCAGATGGACGGCCTCGCAATGGGTAGTTCTTTGAGACTTGCTTAGTTGGACGATTTTCTGAGGCTCCTAGAACGGTAAACCGCGGTCAGCATTGATGAAGGGAAGTCGTATAAGCGTTATGTTGATAGAACCTTAATCTTTGCCAGCGGGGATCGTTTTGAAACATTTGCTTTTTCGACTTCCATCCATACAAAGACTTCTGTATCCAATGTGAGGAAACAGCAGTGCAGCAATAGTGCAGACCTATCCAATGTTCGCCGTAAAGAAAAATAGGGTGAGTGATACCTGCATATTTCTAGCTTGGCTACAGCTGCATACAAAGGCAGCCTTCTGCAAATTCTGTTCTATAGAGTCCAGCGCATGTGTAGCCTTGACACGCTAAGGGTTGAACAGCAGCTCCTACGCAGGACACTACTGTCTACTAGGTATCTGGGGAAGATTATCCAAATCCACAGCAAACCATCCAAGGGAAAGCTACTGTTGCATGCAGCGAAAAAGATTATTTATTTATGCTTTACGATGGTGACCATATCGCCAGCGACATTGATCACAAGCTTAGGTTTACTCTGAAGCGCAGTTACGTAAGCGCCAAGTTGCGACCCATGCAGACCAAACGAAAGCTAGTGCTTCATCTCCATGTCATCCGTCCATCGGGCGGCCCCCTCTGTCGTATCATCTTTTAGTACACCTGCAGCCGGGAGGATGCATACATTGGCAGGATTGACCGTCGACTTGTTCAAAGTGTAACCGAACACTCCACCTTGGTCGCAAGAAGGCAGATTGGATCTGGCGGTTAAACGGAATCCTGCTTCGTCCATCGCAGAGCACCACGAGACCACTCCTCGTCACGTGGACCCATCGAACGCTTTCAACACGTTCCGGTGTGATAGTGCTCCGGAGCGGTTTGGAATTGGTGGAGTTTTGTTGATCACGTAGAGTCGTCCAGTAATTTGGGTACTAAAGCGATTGGGACAATCAGTTAAATTGCTATGGTCCTAAGTATCCCACTGAGATTTTTAATGAACGTTTGTCGCACGTATATACTTTCGCTTTCTTCCTGAACGCATAGCGTTTATGACTGACGAGAGCGATTGAAACGCTAACGTGTAGCGATCTTTGTCTCCTTTCTGCGTTGCCAAAAGGATTCAAATATATCGTGGTTATCAGGAAGGCGCAACGAACAGTACAGAACTGTCTAATTGTTTAGACTGCAAACCTACAATCTAACAAGGTGAATAGAATGGATGGATTATTGCTGTCAAGCGTTTGGCGTCCAGTTTTACTCCGACCAATTGGATGAGCGTTAGCGGATGGATTCGAAGCCGAGATAGACAATCAACGCATTCACTACCGAGATCCTAAATGTCGAGGACATTTTCCATCTGTAGTCGAACCAGTTAAGATAGTCTAACACACAAAGGTAACTACCCTCCGACTGGTAAGGTTTTCCCCATTTGACCCATGGCTGTAACGTAGACTTCGACCGGCCGTGGAGAGGTTAGTTATCGGTTTCCTCTAACCTGAGTTCGCGTGAACCAAATGAATTTTGACTGCTGTAGCCAGGTTGCCCATATGATGCACGTTGATTATGCAATTTATATAATTTATCCAAGAGTTGTTCCACCGTTTGAAGAAGCATTAGCTTCAGAAAGCGAAAGATTATGATTTCATCAAGTGCATTTAACGATCATACAACAGACTTCCTGAAATTACAAACTCTGTGCGTTTCACCGATAAACCATAGTCGTCGAACTGCATTGGGGATAGAAATGCTGTGACCGTTCAATGTGTTCTCGTGCATTGCATTTGTCAAGTGGGCTTGCCAGCATTTGATGCGTTGGAATAAGCGATTGTTGGCAATTGCCACCTCGTGACAGGGCTGTTGTTTTGGTACTTTCTCGGAGTGATGTGGGTCTACATGGTACATATTTAAGATCGGCGATTTTGTAGTCAATGCTCGTTGTGTGGGGATTTTTCCGTAACTTCATAAAATGAGACATTTTAAGTGGTTTGCTCTATTCTGCTTAGTATTTTAGGACATTAAAAGAAGCCGCAGATACTTACCTAAGGCTGGTTAACAAGAAAGTTGCTTTATAGCACTAACAGAGGTTGCTTTTTAAAATTGCGATCGACTTTCCATCTAAGGAATAGGTGAACCAGCCCAGAACGAGACACACCGGAGTATATAAATTTTACTCTGGTACATTTAGGATCATTCTCCTTTTTTCAGGGGTAAACGGATGATCATGGATATGCAATTGGTCTACTTGTTCGGATTTCTTATACTCGTTTTGTACTCTTTTTAGGAGAATGTTTCCTAATTTGCAAGTTCGCATATCAGGACTGATTCCTGAGAGCAAATATCTCATCGCACTGGACTGCAAGTGTTGCGACATGAATCGCTATCGCTACTCTTTTCAAATTTCTGCCTGGATTCCTGCAGGTAAGCTCTTGACATTTTACAGAAATGCACCATGTCCAAATTTCGCAGTTAAGCTGTGTCATGACGAGGACTGGTTTTTTCTGTTACACGCTATTCCAAGGATTGCTGGTAGCATAAGTGAAACAAGGAATATGGATTTAAAGACCTAAATTACACCGTGCTTGCTGCCTATAGAGCGGTGTACACAGTAAGTCTATTGGTTGGCCAGAGGACAATTAGCGTTCCTCCTTCGATTTTGGGCGTCCACCACTGTCACAAAATGGTTCGCTATATGTCTGTCACCATACTCAAGAAAATTCATTTGTTTTTATTACATTACGACTGATTGAAGTGAGCTTCCAAAGTAATAGGAAGTAAGAGCAGTTTTACAGGTTGGATAAAAGTATTCTTTTTGATTGCTACCGGATTGTAGCTTTTAACTGTTTATGCAATAATGCAGACGACAGGCGTTACATATCTTACATCCAATCTGAAACAGGCATCACAATTTGAATAGATCTAACTAAGGGGCTGAGTATTGCCGTTCCTTAGTTCAAACATCCGTTAAACTGAAGTCATCATAATGTCTCACAGCATGGTTGCAAACTATAGTACTTTTTCACAACGCAGTTTTTAATTTGTTCCATACTCGTAGGAAAGGCTGATGCAAACCCGTCAGCCAGGATGCACTTACATACCGATGGGTTGGCTACTGGCGCTCACTGGATGCGTCAAACCGTGCTTTTTGACAAACTGAAGCTGACCAACAACCCGACGGACCAAAATGACCACGTGAGAATCGATTCACCTTTCAGCATGTATCCATATGATATATTTCGGGCGCCTTTATTACTTCATTTATCTGCAATCTTATCCCCAGCAATTGTCATTGAACATCCCTCGTCATCCTGACTGATCATGCATCACAGTGCTTAAGTAATCAAAAGGCTCAAATGTTATAGACAAGCATACGATGCTGCATGCTCACCTGTGAGCTTGGGGATCCACTTTGGCTGATTTGATACCGTAAATTGCTTTGGAATGTATTTCGCCTTAACCAAGCGGCAGCGTACTTTTGCAGTTGAGTTAAGTAACTAGGGTGTGAACCTAAGCATGCCAGCAGCTACTGCTCCGTGGCGTGCATTTACGCCCACTATAAAAGTAACAAGGGAGAAGAATCAGTTACTACATAAATTGTTATAACCACATATGGTTTACATGGCATAACCAACAAATGACGAGGGCACATTAAATTCTTACCAGCTATTAGAAACAATGAGAAGTTTTCCGTTACGCGTGTAGCCCGGGAGTCGCATTTGAGTTTATTTTGCCGGTTTTTATGTATTCAGCTAATGTCCAGCATTAAAGTAAATTACCGGTTTGCCATGTGTATTTCGCATGCAATAGTTTCATGATTTGCCTTCTTATGAGGCATTTCAAACGAGTGCCGAGTGGATCTTACAGTGTTTTAAGAAGCGTTGCTAACGGCAGTGGCAACGTATAAGCGCAGAGGTTGAAATCTTCGGGACTGTTTTGCGCACGATATCGCAGGTTACGAGGCGACCTAATGATGATATACTTGATTTTGCACAAGCCACATCATGTGTGCTGCCCCTTACTGAAAGTCAGCAGTGATACAAGACTGAGAGGTCATCCTATAAAACTAGCACAGCAGTACAGCCGTTCGGAGTGCCGCGGAAATTTCCCCTCTGTTCGCGTATGTCACCCGTTGAATGCTCTCACTGAATTTGCCGTTACTGTGCCGATACCAGTCACAATTAAAAGAAGGTTGGGCGACGCATTCATCCCCTTTCAATTTGTTACTTAACAATACATCTCCACTCTTCTCCTGGAATTTACCTGGGATTTATTGGTTGTTAAATGTGGGTGATGTGAAATTACGCGGATTGCAGGAAAATAGCGGAGCAAACGATAAATACATCTTTTTATACTTAAAGCACTTTATTATTATTATTTTTCGATAACCCCACCAAACATCCCAACCGGACTTGTAAAGCAGTGCTCCTTAACCTGTATAACGTCATTGTTCAAGGAATAGCTGCAAATCGTACTACCCTCAAATTACACGGTTTAGCTTCACGGTTGTGCGACTCGCTGTTACATTTGTTTCCGACTGAGCCGGATGATACACAGGCAATCAATATCTACTGAAAACAGCCCGGCACAATAGGTCAGGCTCGATATGAAAAACTAAAAACCACTACGGTTCTCTTCCTTTCTCATATCTAGCTCGTACTGAACTCTATGCACAAATTCCAGCCGCGGTTACACATTATATATGTTTCAAGCCCGTCACAACACAAGCCCGATTCGCAACCTGCTCAGAATTTTAGCCTACTCGAGGTCGCTGAATGCAGTCCGTGGAAGAAAACGTTCGTGTTCCCAGAAACACAGTTTTTTGCTGTCACAGCATATCAGAATCATCGCGTAAGTGCTAGCATATCCAACCAACTTTCTAATTAAACTAAATAAGCGTGTTTAACGGAGCAATATTCTTCATGCAGATTGTGCGTTTCCTAACGTATATTCCTCTCTATAAATGGGGAGCGGATTGGTTAAGTAACCCCAAACATTTTCCAAAACTCTGACCCCTTTGAAAAAGGTAAACTCTAATATTTGTTATCCTGTGGTAAATACAGGAGAAAGATATTGCATACCCGGGAGAAAACACCCGATGGCTCGGGGAAAAGCCCAGGATGCGTTTGCGGTATGCAGAATGTTTGTTGATTTTTCATATAACTATAGGCGAATAGTCAGGGATATGCGCACACTGGCAGCAACAAAGTTAACGGTAAGTGAGGTGGATTTACGTAAGCCGATAACCCAACTATATTAGGCCGAATTTGTCTATGGTCTATACTATTCTCCATCGGTCGTATGCATAGCAGAAAAACTTTCTCTTTAAAGAAGTTATGTTCCGCCATAGATCACTCGAGAAAGCTCTTGCCCTAATCAATTTTCGATCCTAAATAGGCAACTCTTCGTTGATTGGCTGATTCCAAGACAGCCAGTAGTAGACCAAACGAGAATGCAGCATGGGATGGCTCTTGTACCCACACCCACTTGCAGCATTGTGTGGCGCGCGTAAATCGATCACGCTTTGGGGTCTGCCGAGCCGCGTTCGACTCTCAAAGTCAGGAATGACCGGCTACACAGAAGCTAGTTCCACGCAAACTAGGAGGCACGCGCGTCAATTTCATGGGGTACGACCTCTGCATATCACGTAACCTTGAATGGTGGTAGTTGGAGTTACCGTGCGCACCACTGCAAGCACTCACCCGTCCAGTTGAGATGTGTTATTTGCGCTGTGTTCACTTGCGCGCTGTCACTGAGCAGAATGCTGAGACCGTGTGACCTAGCCAGTCGGGTGAATGACGTTTCTGCTTGAAACGCGTCGCTGCAGAGGGGAGTTTGGTGACAGGGTGGGGACCGCGGCGTGTTCTTTGTTTTTGCTTACTTACTGAGCTTAATGTTGAGAAGTCTAAAGTTGTTAGATGTGGCGATTCGATTCGGATTGTGGCAGTAGCAACCTCGTCCAGGTTGAGTAACATATTAGTTATCGACTTACAAGAGGGGGTGTCCGAGGTTGTGCATGCCTACTGCTTTTACTGTGTCTTTGTTCACTTGCCTTTTCTTCTTAGGAATATTTCTTGTATATGCCTTAAGATTATCGGCGCTTTTGATAAAAAGTCGCACTTTAATTAATCAAATAAACTTCACCTTGGAATTGGTACTCTGCAATAACACCGTACCATTCCTTGAATGCTTTGTTCACAGGATTGGTGGCAACTTAAAACTAACGATTTTTCGTAAACTAGGGGAAGTACGTGGGGTACTTAATTACAGTTCACATTGCCCAGAGTATGTGTATGTTGGGATCGCCTTATTTATGTCACAGAACAAAGAAGCTGTGCACACCGGATGCGAATGGAAAAGCCGGTTGGAAGTAAGCGATGATCCAATTTCTAGGTAGAGGAAATCCGAGACAGTTAAGTAAACCCTAGTGTCGGAGGATTCTAATCTCCCGTCTACGAGTTCCATGAATTGGCAGAAGAGATTTCAGATGCCACCCAATGGGTAAAACCAAAGAATAAATGGGAGTGACTTTCCAAAAGTGTAAGACAAACAATCCGACACTCGTGTATCTGAAGGACTCATTTCCCTTAGGCAGGGCAACTAACTGTATCCATAAAATTAGTAATAAAGGTTGTGCGCGTGTGTGTGCATAAACCTAAACCGCGAAAGAATTGGACACGAAGCTAGCAGGACACAAACAGAGCATACCATGACCGAAGACGGAAGGAGTTAACGGCGCACGCAGTAGCACAGTTTATTGAAGTTACCCGGGTAATTTCGAGATGATTAGGAGGGGTCACGTTCAACAGCCTAAACGTCGATTTCTGAGGGGGAAAATTGTTAATTCGCCATTTGTGTGAACAGACTAAAATGGGGTGGAGCTGTCAGTTGTGTGGCGAGTTGTTTAACTTAGTAAGCCCGATGAACGTTAGGGCTATGATCTGGGACAAACAGTGAAAGTCATATTTCCCCAACCCTATCACTGACAGGGAATTCTCGACGTCCAACACCTGCAACCATTCTATTCTTACTGTAGCCCATGAGTGTACACCGACGTGTAACGCGAACACCCTTCCACTTACAGCTCGGTCGACGCAATTTGTCCCCCAGTTTGCTGTTACTACCACACAAGTCATCCGCTGGTTCACTCAGATCAACCAGGTGTGACTAAAGCGTGGCGTGGGACCACGGTGGGTGGCTGCAAGCTTGCCTCTGCTGCATGGCCCAAGAGGTACCAATATCGCATGACCTCTAGGTAAATGCACTGACATGACGAAAAGTTCATCGGAGCTAATTCAGCAGGACAGACGTAATAAGCGCAGTAGGCAAGTGTAGTCTCGGACGCTAGCACGTCACCAAACCAGGGCAAGATTGCCAATGTGCAGCGCACGCGCATTCACCCCTACTCTCATCCTTGACGCTCATCCTAAACGACTACGTGAGTAACAGTTATGTCATTCTATCCAAAGGCTAGGTCATTCAGTCGCTGCTCTTATATGTAGTTTGAGTAGCCAATCCCAAATCAGCACACAATATGGGTACCACACAATGCTCTACCCCGTACCCATCGGCCGCATCTTAGTGCGCTGCGCAGATCGGCCACGCTTACCGAGGTGTCGAGCTGCAACAGTAACCTGTAGTGAAGTGAGTTTCACTGAAGGTTAAAGGTATGCTCGTCAAACTTACGTGGCGCAGCTGTGCCCACTGGTGGCTACTTGTAATCGTAGGTGGATAGCACTTAAGGCTACTTTGCGTGAAGTTTCAGGCATGTGTGCGCGTGTCCTAAGTCGCTATCATTGGTCAATGCAAGCAGCTCATGAAACGTCAGCTTACGGTGGGTGGGGCCGAACGGACTGTTACCTACCGTTGAGTGCAAGGTATCGTCGACATGAATGATGAGGTGCAATGCGCATACACGTTGTGATGCATGATATGCCGCAATGACTAACGGGCAAGCACTGCACCAATTGTGAAACGGTTAATGAGTTATCGACAGTCTGCGCTCATTGGTCTAGACATGATTGCAGAGCGCGGGACATTTACTTACTGGGACTATACCACTGAACGCTGCGTAAGGGCGGCTGGCATCTGAATCGGTAGACAATTACGTGAGTACGCCGGACGGGATAAATGTTATTTGGAAAATATTACACCCGTTTGGTATGTTCAATGCTAGGGAACAACTACCCACGAAATGGTTCTTCGGATGAAGTCAGCGGAATTGTTTGCCTTTCTCAAAGCCCCTTCTCCTGCTAATGTACTCGGGGCAGGCAAATACCACTTTTTGCCAACTGCACTTCCTTGGCCATCAGGATATTCAGGGGCACAACACCTTAGTCCCTGTCAACGGTAATTGTACCTGCAGCTTCCATGTTTCCGCGAGGTCGGTAGCACTCGATTTCCCGTCTAACAAGTGGTCCAATAACGAAGCGAGCACTGCAGGTACCATCGTAGTTAATACAAACGAATAGCAAAGTGCTCCCACGTCTCCGGGTGCCGCTACCGACAGGGCACCATGGTGCATCCCTAATTTCGATGTGCATTGCACAAGGCAACATTCCGATGCTTTGGACTAAAGCATCAGTGATGAGAAAGAACATGTGCATGAGTGGCATTGAAATAGTTTACAGATACATGAAGGGATGACATGAACTTCTTTCCCTTATATTTGTCCCACAATTTGTTTACAAGCGTGTTACTTTACGTTGGGTCACACTTCTGATACAATCTGCTTCAGGAAATTGGTCCTCCATTTCTCTTTGGTAAGAGCATCATCTGGAATCCTAGGAGCATTTCGGAATATCGGCACCTCATGCTTTTTCCACGTATGTACTACTGGTATTTCAAAGCGAGATCGATTCCGTATATGGATTTACGTTCAAGCGCCATGCCGCATGCTTATTTTATTTGCAACTGTTTGCTATGGTATTGGGCCCACAACGGACAATGCACATTTATGGCTACGTGCGCCCTTAGAATAGAATTTGAATGCACTAAGAGCTGTTTCGAATGATCCAAAGCGGTATGTGATTTCCTTGAAGAGGATGCAATTGACTGTAGATAACTGTAGTGGAACCGAAAGACTGCGCATGAAATGTGCATCCTTAAGGACATGATTTTGTTGTTGATCTCAGCCATTGTCAGTGCTACCTTCAGCTTCACCCCTACTGAGTTATTTGGTTACCTGTTTTTCATTGCAAATAAGGAGACTCACGTTTGTAGACGTGTAGACAGGGGAAACAGATTACTTTCTTTTGATGAGTCAGTCGGAGATCTATGAGTGCGTTTAGCATCTCAACCGCGGGTGTTCCATCCAAACAATAAGTTCTAGCAACAACATAACTGCAAATATCAAACGCTAAAGACAACTTTATTTACTGTGTAAGTGATCCCCTAATAAAAGTACTTAGAACCTCAATAACACACCTTATTCTATCTTGTTCTGAACACGGTTATCACGCATTCATATTATGCAGTTTTCGATTTATTTGACGGTAACCAAACTCTGTTTAACTTAGATAAAATCCACCAAACAGAGGAAAATGGCCTTGCTTCATCCATCGCGTGGTAAACTTCCCTTCGCTTGAATTCGTAAGCTCATTGCCTGTCTTGGTTGATAACGGTTTACGCTAAATAGCGAAAAAGGAATTGTATCTGCTACTTGAGGGACAGCCGTCATACTACTCATCTATATCTATTGATGAAGTGTGCTTTTTTGTCTGCAGATCACTCAGTTAAAAATTCAGAGCAATCCGTTTGCTAAAGGATTTCGAGAATGTGAGGCTGGAAACAGGTGGGTTGGTTGAATTTCGTTTTTTCACTGAAACTGAGCACTGGGATAATAGGTAGTTGAATTTCCTGACGTTGTTTTCCTTCAGGCTATAAAAAGTGATGTATATAAGGTACATATACTAGGATAACGTATCTAGTGTAGTGCGCACCCCGAAATAAAATCGTCGAAGCTAACCGGTTGGGTGCATTATGTCCCGAAGGTAGCTTCAGGATTGCAAAGAAACGACAAAAATATGAAAATGGATAGCTTCTTATCGCCCTTCACTTCAGTAAGATAGACCACAGACTGTTACCCACCTATTGCTTGTCTATCCTGCTGGAATCTACTTGTGTTCAGCACACGTCCAAAGTTTCGTCACTTTTCCCTCGGTTAAGTTGCCTAGGTTACGCATCGACACTATAAGCAATAAGCTGTGATTTATAACGGATAAAAATGTGATAGTTTGAAAACTTCCGTAGGAGAAGGAGCGAGTATTATGAAACAAACAGCAAAAGGTCAGAGGAAAAAGAGGAAAACGCGGAATTAAAGCTTACCCTAGGTCATGTGTGGCACCTCGATCCTCAACTCCGGTTCATCTTTTCGAAGCCGAAGCAGTTTTATTAGGTTCCAAGTAATCGAGTTATGAAAAGTCAATACAGTCACATTCTTTCTCTTTCCGCAGCACACTTTTCCGTCCCAGCCATGTGGGGCTTTGAATTTTTCCAGTCCGCCCGTGTTTATGTGACTTTGGTTTTAATGCTGTAAAGCACTAATCCATTACACGAAGAGTTTGAGGTAGAAAGATATTAACAACTTATACCCTCCATTCGTTACACTTGGATTGCAAGGTCGACGATTTACAATTAAGTTCTATCATTTAATACCCATTGCCAGCAATGTGTGCACAAGTAAATAACTATTTGAATTGGTGCGTGAAAGAAAACTTCATGGCCATGTAGTCTAAGAATTGTCCATCAGCTAGCTGAAGATATGAGCCAACCAATGCCATCAAAAAGATGATTATAAATCTCTCGGTTTTAAGAAAATGTGCACGCGTGTTAAATGGGTTAACACAAGCACCTGAGGAGCCAACGGCGATGCAGTCAATCTGAGTGTGGACTCGTCATCACCGGTGAGTATGGGGCTCCTCTCCAGTACTGAACTTTGCAATAGACTGACAAACACGCGCCTCCAGAAAAAATGGTTAACGAAAAAGCTCGTTTCGGTGGCTCACGTCAGGCTACAACACAACAACTGATAGGAATAAGATTAACATAAAACATCAGATCATGGCCAAGTTCAAACTTCATGGATATTGGAATGAAAAGGCCAAATAATCGGATCAGAAGTGACCGATGACTTGTCGGTGGCATGTCCCACAACATGAATCGTTGTGATAGCAGGCCAGGGCAAACACAGAATCTGAACGAACCGCTTTGAGCACATAAGTCTGGGTTCTGGTGGCGGATAACAGTTGCCTCAGATGCTGCTAGTAGGCGACATTTTACCGCCCCTGAAAGACGTCCAGGGACACGCTAAATGGGTTAGAAAGATTGGCAGATATTGATTTGGTGGTTAGAATCAACCAAGTGTGCCAACACGGCGCTCATCACAGTTTTGCTTCCACCATTGTGTAGATCAGCTGGAAAATGCTCACGTATTCACTCAGACAGCCACCTAGTAATTCTTCCGATGTATCTTGCTCGACATGAACAGGAGAAGAAAGCTACACAATACGAAGCACATGACCAAGAAAGTCTGTCTTTGAGTTGAGGCCTCACAATTGGTGCTGAAGTAAAACTTAGCCGCAAGCTCGCTGCGTAGTATGTGTGGCTCATGTTTCCTGCGCTATACAATCCCCCTTGAACGGCAACGACAGATAAACCGATTTCTTTTATACCGAAGCTGGTTTAGCTCTCATTTCTCTGCACCCCATATATTTCCGAACAAATTGTTCTGGATAGCCATTTCTCTCGAAAACGCCACTTAATAAACTGAGCTCATTCGCAAGTGTGTCCTCACTACAAGTCCTTCTGTCCCTTTCGGTTAGACATCCAATTAACTAGTGTTTTTGATTTATTGGGATAAAACTGGCAAAAGGTATATATTGTCCTTTCCATGTTGCTTTTCTATGCACCCTCCGCTGGACTGATCCATTTGCTCTTCTACTAAGCTGGACATCTAGGAAGAATATCGTGTCATTGCCTTCAGTTTCTAGGGTAAACTTGGCATTAGGGTGCGCTGAGTTAAAATGGGATAAAATTGTCTCTGGGCAGCAATGCCTGTCTGTCACGCAACATACATCATCCACCTATCGTCAGTAATATGGTTGACCAGTAATGACTCCGCTAAGATACTCATTCTCTAATTTGCTCATGAACACATCAGCTAGTAGCGGTCCAAGCGGTGAACCCATTGCTACTGCATCTTTTTGTCTGTATATGGCCCCGTTAAACTGAAATTGTATGTTGATAGTACACAGCATGAGTAGCTGTTTCAATCGATCATTTGAAAGGCCGGCACCCAATTGGTGGTCTCGAACGGTGTCACATATATGGTCTATTGTATTTTCTAACGGAATATTGGTGAAGAGCGGCACCACATCCAACTTAAACTTCTTTCTTCCCGGGCTTATATGCTCAGAAACGGTTCGTTCAGATTCTGTGTTTGCCCTGACCCGCTATCACAACGGCTCATTTTGTTTGGCATACCACCGACATGTCGTCGATCACCTGATCCGATTACTTAGCCTTTTCATTCCAATGACCATGAACTTTGAACTTGATCGTTAGCTGGTGTTTTATGTAAATCTTCTTCCTATCAGTTGTGGTGTTGTAGCCTGACGAGAGCCACCGAAATCGAGCTCGTTCGTTAACTTGTTATGCTGATGTCCAAGCCTGGGATATTTTTTCATTTGAAACTATTCAAGGATCCTGTTGTTCTCAAGGAGCCTAATCAGTAGGTTAAGTTCTGCACAAAACTTACGTTAGCGAAAGTGACAATGCGGTTCTTTGGTGAATGTGTTTCGCGTTGCAAATATCCTAAACACTTTTACAAAATACTCCGTAGAAAGCTTATTAATACAAGTAATGTGGCTCTGAAACGGCATGCGTTGAACGAGTGTGACAGCATTGCCTCGAGACTTGATGAGGTGGAATGTAAGCGGTGCGCAGTGACGCGCAAACAATTTGACACCGTTGTTCAACGAATAGTCACAAAACAAGAGGAGAAACGCTTAGCCTCTTTGCGGCGGCAGATTTGCACAACTAAGGCAAACACTTTATTCTCCCCGCACACCCCGAACCAGAAATGCATGCTCACAATTTTACCTAGTTGCAATTGGATAAGACATTGCTTGAGGTGCTCTCACTTGGTCCAAAGTTTTGCTGTCCCCGCAGTTATTCAAGACAACTAGAATTAGAAGTGCAGTTTGAAAATTTGTATGCCCAAGTTTCTATGCTTACGCCCTCGTCAGCATTAGCGTCTGAACATTTTAAGTCTACCCTGGTCAATACTTGTTACCAACATCTGAAGTACAAACCTAAACTCAGGTATTTGCTGGAAAAAGACAACCTAGATGCTCTCAAAGCTCTCAACCAAAATGAGAATGTGTTCCTTTCAAGGCCGGATAAGGGGGCAGAGGTGGTGTTGATGGAGAAAGATGATTACATCGAAAGATGAACGCCGTCCTTAGCGATCGCTCGATGTTCCGGAAAAGGGAGAATGTGAAGGACAAAACTGCAGCAATGGAAAAGACAGTTACTAAGCTCCTGCTGTGTTGAAACAGGAAAACATGATTGATTCCGCCACGCTCGAATACATTAGTCCCACAGGGGTGGTAATCCCGAAACTCTACGGCTTACCGAAGGTGCATAAAGAAGGACTTCCACTAAGGCCAATATTAGACACGTGCAATTCATCGTATCATGCAACAGCCAAGTGATTAGTTAAGCTGCTGGGGCCGATGAGAAATATTATGTACAGGTACACCATACGAGATACATTCGGTTTGTTAGACTACATAAGACAGCATCAGCTAACCGGAAGGGTGATGTTTTAGTTGGATGTGGTGCCGCTCTTCACCAATATTCCGTTAGAAAATACAATAGACCATATATGTGACACCGTTCGAGACCACCAATTGGGTGCCGGCCTTTCAAATGATCGATTGAAACAGCTACTCATGCTGTGTACTATCAACATACAATTTCAGTTTAACGGGGCCATATACAGACAAAAAGATGCAGTAGCAATGGGTTCACCGCTTGGACCGCTACTAGCTGATGTGTTCATGAGCAAATTAGAGAATGAGTATCTTAGCGGAGTCATTACTGGTCAACCATATTACTGACGATAGGTGGATGATGTATGTTGCGTAACAGACAGACATTGCTGCCCAGAGACAATTTTATCCCACTTTAACTCAGCGCACCCTAATGCCAAGTTTACCCTAGAAACTGAAGGCAATGACACGATATTCTTCCTAGATGTCCAGCTTAGTAGAAGAGCAAATGGATCAGTCCAGCGGAGGGTGCATAGAAAAGCAACATGAAAAGGACAATATATACCTTTTGCCAGTTTTATCCCAATAAATCAAAAACACTAGTTAATTGGATGTCTAACCGAAAGGGTCAGAAGGACTTGTAGTGAGGACACACTTGCGGATGAGCTCAGTTTCTTAAGTGGCGTTTTCGAGAGAAATGGCTATCCAGAACAATTTGTTCGGAAATATATGGGGTGCAGAGAAATGAGAGCTAAACCAGCTTCGGTATATAAGAAATCGGTTTATCTGTCGTTGCCGTTCAAGGGGGATTGTATAGCGCAGGAAACATGAGCCATACATACTACGCAGCGAGCTTGCGGCTAAGTTTTACTTCAACACCAATTGTGAGGCCTCAACTCAAAGACAGACTTCCTTGGTCATGTGCTTCGTATTGTGTAGATTTCTTCTCCTGTTCATGTCGAGCAAGATACATCGGAAGAATTACTAAGTGGCTGTCTGAGTGAATACGTGAGCATTT